AAAAAAAAAAACTTCTAGAACTAATGTGAAGACTGAGTGACATAAATAATTGCAAAATACCAGGTAACAAATGTGTTTACAGGAAATATAATGTCAATTTTAATTCTACATATCTGCTTCTGTTATTGAAAATGAACTTCACTCTTGGCCTAAAGTGGATGTGCCTGGGTCAGATTGCTGATGGATCCGAACATGTGGGATGCTCAAACCAGTAATAGAAGAGGAGTGCTACTGAGCAGCCACTAGTGTTTGAGTAAATGAGTGGAATCAGATATTTGACAACAGACAGGGCCAGAATTTCTCCTGACACACTAGTGCATCCACATAAATAATCCGAAGGTATTCATTTGGTTGATAAAGTACCTATAATGTCCCCTTCAGAAGAAAAATTTTGAAAAGATACATGTATCCTGACCTAACTAACCAACCCAGGACACAGGTCTTGACAATTTGAAGCTCAGACTGGATTTCAGGCCCCACCTGCCCCTTAGCCTGGTTTCTTTAAACAACACACAGCTTGTTCATGTGTCAGCAGGCCTGGTCCTTAGAGATCACATCCAAAGTATAAATTGTAGTGTTGCTTTTAGTCTGGGTGCCCCATCCTGATTTATGGGCTGTAAACTATTTGCTTAAAAGCCAATGAAATATGGCAAAAACAAACACCTTGAGAAGCACTGCTTTAGAAATAAATGTTTATTTTTATCAGATTATAAAAACTATAGATTCAAAATATGGGTTTAGAAAAAACAACACACTGCATAAGGAATAAGGTAAAAAGCATTTCTAAAAATCTATGTCTTATAGCTATTTTTTACTTGTTTTTCTGCTTTTGTTTTCTTCTTTTGTTTCTGACCATATATTTTGTTGTATGCTTTTTGTTTATCTGTTTTTTGTGGAGTTAGTAGTGATTGAATCTAGGATCTTAGTCCTAACACTCAAAAATGTTTTTTTTGAGACAGAATCTTGCTAAGTCTCTAAATTAGCAAGAGACCTGGCTGGGCTTGAAATTTCAGTCCTTGTGTTTCAGCTTCCCAACATGTTGGGATTTTAGGCATGCACCACCATGACCAGCTCAGAGCTGGTGTATATGTCATTTCTTCCTAAACTTGTCTCTTATATTTTTTCTTCCTCAACTTTTCTCATATATTTTCATTTTGAACTTGGATCTTATCTACATCAACATCATTATCAGTGGCATCTAGATTTTTAGGACTCCAATAAAGTTTCCACATTTGAATCAGAATTGCATGGCTATATCTTCTTTTTCTGGGTTTTGAGGACCTTAAGCAGAGAGTGATAAAGATAGATCAGTTGGGGTATAGCTGCTCACACATTTTTCCATTCTTTCAAATCCTGGAGTTGTGAATAAATTTTAGAAAATAATGCTGAGACTTACTTACACAACCCTGGGTCACATCTCCTTTCTTGCCTTTCTCCCTGTATATTCTTTCATAAATACCCCTCCTTGGAGTCACACCCTGCCCCGTGATTGGAACTGGGAAATGTGATGATTATTCCAATCAAGTAGGAGCACAGGGGGAAAAAAAGGATGGAGGAGAGGAGGAGAGGGGCTAGTGCAGCCAAAATGGTTAGAGCTGGGTAGAGGAAACTTATTGGGCAGGAGATGGGCAGGAGGATACAAAATTACTTCCTGCTATATCTGCTGTGAGGGAAAGTTTGGAGGATGGTACTGGACGTAAAACTAGAACTGGGGAAATGTAGAAGGTGCATTTGTACATGCTTGTGTAAGTAAGCAGTTACATTTCATCTGTGTTTGATTTACATTCAAATTTTAGCAGCTTTTAGTGTTCTATAAATCCACATGAATGTATATATTAGTATTGCATAGTGGCTTTGTCATGCACTATTTCTGTAAAGGCAGGAGCCCTTGGGTTCTGAGCATCTTAGAACATCATTGCTAATTTAGGTTTGCTATGAGCTACACTGATGAACGTTTTTGGCATCAAATAAGTTCTCTGTTGTATAGATGATGACTCTGAGATTCCTGGTGTTTAAATCTTTAAACCAATTAGGTAAAAATACACTCAGAATATAAACAGGTCCTCATGAATTAAACCCAAATTCTTATTAAATTATCTTTTTTTAATAACTAATAATTATTTAGCTTATGGTAAAGAGCTTGAATGTCTCTGAATTTTACTTCACTGTGCTTTAAATACCCTTATTAAGAAGAAGATGGAAGGAAAGTTAGTTTACTTACAAGAATAAGTAAAGGCAATTTTGTGCACCAGGTGTGTAATGGCAGAAGTCTAGTATTCTAAAGCACAGTATAAAATATGTCAGTTTCCCCTTGGAGGAATGATGGTGCCATAAAATGCTTACCTGGAGGTGACTGTGAAGTACAGATCTAAGCTGCCAGCTATTTCTACCTGGGGCCACTTCAAAGCAAGTAAGTTTAAATTTATCACCTTCTTCACAGTAGATATTGGCCAGTCGTCCAAGTACCACTACTTCCATCTTTCCTGTATTATCTTGTATTTCATAAAAATGCATTTACCTTATATATATATATATATAGATAGATAGATAGATAGATATAGATAGATAGATACTGAGAAAGGTATCAGATATTTTAACTGTGGTGAGAAATGTTGATTTCTAACAAGGTGTTAGTGGAAATGCTGATTTTCAACAAGGCAAACAGAACTGTAAGTTGCAGATTAGAGATACCAAACTGGCTAACATATTTTGGTGGGGAAATCCTGTCTTTTGAAATCTTTCTGAGACTCTCCTTACTTAAAGTCTTTATCTGTACAACTTTTCTAGAAAACTATCTTTCTAACTTGTGCTGCTTCCACATCAGCATACCTGAGATTTCTTGTGGACTCTAGAGAGAAATCTGATTATTTTGATGGGATTATTGATTGATATCTCCAAGAGAACAAAAAGGAAGACCATTTAGGGCTCACTGGGACTGAGAATGACATTGAGTTTTCATGAAGTGTGTTATGCTATTTCAATTATACTTTCTTGTATTTCTTCATTTCTTCACTTCTTGTGAATCAGTTCAAATATTAAATGTATATCATCTGACCTATTCTTATTGCTTGTATCTCAAATATTGTCTAATTTATTATGTACATACATTTAAGTAGATTATGTAGTAAATAATATGGGTGAAAGTAAAAAAAAACACTCTCAAAGACAATATAATGGCATGTGAAATAATGCTTTGAGGAAATCGTTAAGCATACCACTTACAGGAAGTACAGGGACAGAGAGATACTTCCTAAGTCTATGAATTCTCCAACCTTATTTGCATTTTATGATCCCTATTTATAAAGTGAGAGATGTAGTACATTTCTCTTGGGCACTGGTGGCAAATCTTTTATTGACTGCCAAAACTGCAACCCCAAACCCACTCATTTATCACCAGTTGCCAACACTGGAATTAATAAAGCATGCTCAGCTGTTGGGGTGATTTTGAGGCAACTTGGCTCAGGTGCTGAGAGTGAGGGCCCTGAGTGCCCAGTGTGGAATATCTGCCATGGGTTTGCTACCACTGTGCTAGTCTCTTCCACTTCTATGCTTCTCTTCTTATTTAGTGCAGAAACCAGTTGTTCAATAATTTCTTGTTAAAGAGTCATGAAGGAGAAGAAATGAGAGCACCTTAGAGTACAAATGATCAGAGTCTGGGCTTCCTGTTGGACACAGTTGTTTGCTAGCCCAGAGTAATAGTTTGATTTCTTATTGTGGCAATTACAAGGAGAGCCTAGTTTTGGGAAGCAGCTGCTTACTCACAATTTAGTTGTCACAGATACAGTTTGGGTTACTCACCATCCTCTAACAGAGTGATTGTGAAGTGAATAACATAGTTGATAACATACTAAGGTCTCTTTGTGAATTTCATTCTTACAACTGAGTGGTGATATCTAGAGATGAGGAATGCTAAAAGCCCCACTAACCCACTGTCTGAAGTGAGAAGAGTCCATTCACATGTGCCTGCTAAGGGACCTTGTTTCCTCTGCTCAGTAAATTAACCAAAGTGCAGTTGGCAAATTACAACTTTAAAATCTGGGGTTGCCAAAGAAATTTCACAAATTAATGCTTTGACTTACCTTATACACTCTAAATATCCTATTCACATATTTTCCTTCAATTTGTGAGCAAATCTGGCTGATTTCAGGTGTTGCGTTGGCATTCTTAATCAGAGCAGGTGGAATGTTCATCCTTTGGTCAGCACTCAGAGTAGTCACAGTTGAGGATTTGTATATCTCCAGGAACCCATCTCGATCAACATAAATTTGATATGGCAATGACATTTTTGGGGGTGAACTTGTTCTTATGTTTGATGTCAAAAACTTTCACTTGGAAGAATGCTTTCACAGTAGCCACTGTTGCATGAATCATCCTGTGCTCCTGTTCTGCAACATTGTATGTAAATGGTTCTGTCACTTTCAGCACCACCACTTCTTTGGGGCCTGGCTGGAAACCACTTTCTTCAGAAGATTCATTGGGTACACTCTGCAGTCTTGGCTTCTAATTGGACAGTACACAATAAAGCACAAGCACAGTTAAGGCAATGTGAGAGAGCCACGGAAGCACCTTTGACCATGGGAGCTTAGCCAGTCTACCTTTGAGGGAGACACATCCATAATCGATTGTGGATTAAAAGCTTCATCTGTAGTGAGTGTATTTTGTCCAGTAGTGGATTTATCCTGCTTGCTTCTTTTCCCCATATTCTTGACATTTCCTTTGTACTTCATTTTATCTAATACTATAAAAGAAAATATAATAAAGTGAACGGAAGGCCATAGCAGTGTCAATACAATTTCCTCTCAGCTTCTCTTTGTGTATCTATGTCAGCTCCTCTACTTCTATTTCATTGTCTGGTCATGAGGCAGCCAATGGTACCAACCTAGGCACAAGCACAGCCTCAGTGGTTTCTTTCTTTCCTCAGATGCAATTAAAAAGGCCTTCTTGCCCTGTGGATTTCATGTAGCTCAGTACCTTACCCTCTATTCTCCTTTGAAGAAACAAGTTATCATGATGCTAAGAATAGGGCATCTTCCATAGAATGCTTTACCAAATTTGGGAAACCAAAGCAGCAATTTTGTTTTCATTTGTGCTGTGAAAAAGTGAGATACTGGACTTAGACATCTTACATAATTTTTTAAAACATGCAGTTTTTTTTTTTAATTTTAAAGATATTAGTAAATGAGAAACAAACAAAAAAATAGAACAGTAGCAGCATACCAGTATCATGAACATAAACAAATCAAAGCAAGAACATTCAAAGTGATACAGGATCTCAAGACAAGATAATATGAATCAACAGTGGTAGTTACATTATATATCGCTATCCTGAACTACATTGCTCAGATTACTAGATTTAAGAATGAAGGATTGCACAAACCTTTAAGGAGAATAAGAAAATAATTCTTCGATAAAACATTAGAGATAATACAAGATGGTAGGAGTTCACCATTGTAATTCCATTGCATATTGTTACCTTCAAATCAGTTGCTCAGACCACCAGAAACAAGCATGCAAAGTTGATCAGAACACAAAAAATTGTAAGCACTAACTGTTCATTTCAATACACCATCAGACATCAGCAATACAGTCATTGCTGCTATTCATATATATATATATATAT